AAAAAAAAAAAAAAAAAAAAAAAAAACACGCTGTCGCTCGTAACTTTCCACTACACTCTGCAACGAGCATCTTTGGAGGAGGGTACACAAAGAGGTTGTTTTGTAGGCTTACTGCAACAGGTCGCGTGATTTTACCGTTAAAAACGCATATGTCAGCAAAAAGCCCAGATACTTGGCTTTCAGGAACTGTTGGAATTTTTCAGATTGCACAAATGGTTGAGAACTTAAGGCATTTAAAAATAAAAAAAGATGACTTAAAATACGCTGCGGGAAACCCTGAACGTGGATTTAAATGTGATTCGTTCCATATTCCTATAAATGTCCAACACACACACACACACGTCGGTCACACACTAAATCTTACACTGATAAAAGCCCCTCTCCAAGCTCCACTCCTGTGTGTGTCGGTGCTGCCTACAGTACATGTGGTGCTGTCACRGTTGCCTAGAGACACTCCACACACCGGCACTGCTCACAAAACCCACGCCTTTTAAAAATATCCAATACATGTGGCTTATTTAACAAATTTTTGATTTTTTTTTATAAAGTAGGTCAAATATGTTTTTTTTATTGTTAAGAGTGTACTTTAGAATAATTCCATTGGCTCTGCCTTTTTTCTCCTCGTTTATTGAACTTTATGGGACAGTTTTCAAAATGGCCACCAGAATACATATTTTGAGCTCTAACTGGGTTTTTAGTCTACATGAAGCCATGAACTTGTTTTCTAAATCCATGTTTTCAAGTATGAAGGATCCAGAATTCATTTTTAGATGACAGCCATCTTGGATTTTAAAAATGGCCACCAGAATACACATTTCGCTCTTACCTTGTTTCTGTACCACATGCACTTGGTGTCTAAACTCATTCTGTCAGGTTTGCAGGAARGAATGAACTCAGGTCCGGATGGAGGAATGAAGTTTTTAAGTAATAGGGATTTATTAAATAACAAAAACAAAAGAGCTGGCAGGGCAGCTAAAATAAAACACGACACGACACGACACGACACGACACGACACGACACGACACGACATGACATGACACGACACGACACGACGGGGTCACGGGACACACAGGGACAACGAGACAGGAGGGATAATCCATATAATGAACCAGCGAGGAATGAACAGAAGAGAAAGGTATTTATACAGACTGATGATGAGAGAAGATGAACAGCTGGAAGAGACTAATTAGAAAGCACTGACAGGCGTGTGAATACTGAGGAGGGGAAAACAGCTGAGGAGAAAAGATGAGTAATGGCGCAGGGAAGACACAAGAGGGAGACTACAGACAAAACAAAAAGAACACAACGACTGAGACAGATGGAACGGGTGGGTCAAACTGGCAACCCACAGTAACAACCATTTTGTTTTTAATGAACATATTTTGAATTTAAATTATAAATGTCTCTTTGCTTTTGTTGCAGGATGATGACATCGCAACAAAACCTGTGCACCAACAGCAGCTGCGTTACATTTCAAAATTCTTAATGTATACTTAATCATTTAGCTCCTCCAACATTTTAGACCTCAGTACAGTGTTCCGGGCCTGGGTCCCACTGGGAGGAGACCCAGAAGAAGACCCAGGACACGCTGGAGGGACTATGTTTCTCGGCTGGCCTGGGAACGCCTTGGGATTCCCCCGGATGAGCAGGCCCAAGTTGTTGGGGAGAGGGACATCTGGGTCTCTCTGCTTGGGCTGCTGCCCCTGCGACCTGACCCCGGATAAGCGGCAAAAAACGGACGGACGGGCAGTTTAAGATTTACATTTTACATTCAGATATTTACATTTTGATTTAGGATATTTAGTAAAAAAAAAAAAAATTGTTATGGACTAATTATCTATATCTGTTTCACCTTGACACTGTCCAGTACTCATATATCTTATGATCAATGTCAATCTGTTTGCCCAGACGTCAGGACTCCGGCAACGGACTGACCTCTCTTGTCTGAGTAGGTAACTCTTTGGGCTAAGAGCCCTGTTATTGGCTAGGCAGTTACAGTTGGCGATCTGTGATTGGTTTTATTCACATCATATGATGTTATCATGATGTATATTATTGGCTGCTTTCCGCTGATGCGCCAGTCACAACATGACAGACTTCCTGATTGACTTCTGTTTGTTGTCGCTCAGAATTAAATCATTTTGACGACCATACACGCAGACTTTCCGTGCATTTATTCCAACGTGTTTCTGCATTCTTGGTAAATCATGCGGCGACAATAATAAATAAAAAGAAATAGCAAAATGTAAGAAATGTGAGCTAAATAATAAAATATTCATGGAGATTTTCCAGCTAAATCATGACGTGATTTATTTTTTATTTTTTACATTTAGGCTACACTTGGCACTAGGGGTGTGAGAAAATATCGATACACTGGAATATCGCGATGTTTCATTTCCCGATACTGTATCGATATTCTAAAGCCCTGTATCGATTTTTTATTAAGGTTTAAAATGTCCACTTTCCTGCCAGCCATTCATTTTTATGTTGTAGTTCAGCCTCTGACCACTAGTTGGCAGCAGTGAGCCAGCCATTTGGCTCCTCTACCTCTTGAGCACCATAGAGTAAGGGTAGCATTAGCATTGTGAGTAAACATTAGCTTCATGCTCCGATAGCTGAATCTGAGCGGAAAAGACCGACACCCTCTGCCTTCTAAGCTGAGGTAAGGTTACGAACAGTTACTTATTTGTCAGAATGTCTGTATTTTAAGCCAAATTAAATGTTTCGTGCACTCTTTTTTCCAACTGTAGTCATGTCACGTTACAGAAGGCAGGCAGGCATGCATACATAGCGCATGCGTCTCTAGCGCCTCGAGCGAGCTCGGCACTCCCCCCGTGACATAAAACTATTTATTGGCAAATTTAATCTAATAATTGAAAACATGGATGAAATAAGAAATATGAAACAAATAAAATAAAATACATACAAAGTAGAAGACAGCTAAATGTATCTAAAGTATGTCTGTGTAATATTAGAATTTTCTGAGACAATGAATTTTGGTTTTTCTTTTTTTAGTAAGAGGTTTTTATTTAATAGAATGTTTGGACAAAAATAATCGCAATATATCGCCTTGCTTACAGTATCGCAATATATCGCCTTGCTTACAGTATCGCAATATATCGCCTTGCTTACAGTATCGCAATATATCGGGATATATCGTATCGTGACCCATCTGTCATGATATGTTTCGTATCGCCAAATTTTTGCCAATACACAGCCCTACTTGGCACCCCATACAAACGGGGGAAAAACAAGTTCAGCTTAGTTGCAAGGAGCTCTTACCATATCATACACGTTAAGGATCACAGGTTCATTGGCCATGATGGTTTATACATGAGCAGGAAAGGCAAATGATCCTTGACTCCACATTGAAAAGTTGCCAGTACCTCCACAGCAGAGCAGCAGGCTTCACCTCAGCTCCCTGCAGACGGACACCACTGTGGGTATAGTGGGATGGACGCGGCCCATCTCCGAGAACCAAAAAATATATTTAGACTTTTAAAAAAAATCGATGCTTCAGGGAGAATAATTGAGTGAGGAACAGATCAGATCAGATGTGATGATGCTCTGCGGATTAAAGGGCCTAGATTGGCTGGAAGCAGAAGTGGGCGCCCTCCTGTCATCAGGCGAAAGCTACAGCGGGCTGATGGCGACTTGGTGCGGCTCATAATTAACCGGATGCAGGAGCAGGAGTCGGAGAAGATTCCCGGCCGTGAGGAACGATCAGCAGCAGCATCCCGCTCGACTGCTGGCTGCCATCCAGTGTCCGCCCTTCTGATCTGGGATGACTTCAAACCCTGACATAAGTCCGCCTCCGACCCTCATCCGTGCCCCCCGACCGTTTCATGCAGGCTTTAAAGCGGGCTTCAGGAAGTCTGGTTCKGGCAGAGATGAGTCCGTTTGCAGCCGCTGTGATCCAGCTTCGTCTCCCTGCTCGATGACATAATTCCTGCCTCCGACAGCTGAGTTCAGGCTGATCCGCTGGTGGGAGTCCTGAGCTGCAACAGAGTCAAAAAAACAGCCTCGCGTTGAAAAGTAAAAAGGAATAAAATGGATTAAAAATATTTTACTTTGGTTGTGAATGTTCCGCAGCTGTAATATGACTATTTCCCCAGTCTGACATAAATAAAGTTATTCTGATTTCTGCTGTAAAAATTCGTTCTGAAAAATATTTAGTTTCTTATTCAAAAATGTCTCCCTGGCCAATCAGATGACTTTCTGATTAATGTTTTTATTAACTTGATTTTCAAAATTATTTCTTAAACTTTTCAATAAAACATGTACTTGAC